ATATTGAAGAGCGCGACGTATTGTCACTGTACCGCTTATAGAGATGATTGCAAAAGTCACGATACTTTTGTTGTTACTTTGGCGACACTGGTGACAGCAATATTGAGGGCAAGCGACAGTTATCGTGAAGAAAGATAATTTCCGATAGTTAAGTATAGTATTACAATAATATTGTCAATGACGATGATTCAGATGACAAGGGCAATGACAAAGATGACTACACTGAAAAGATGGAATTGATAGCGACAACTATAGAGACAAGTAGGACTGCAAAAATCTAAAATGATAACGACGACGACCACGACATACGTTTGTGGATGATTACCATGATCATTTCAAAAATAATAGGAATGATAACATCTGAACGACATCGAAGGCCAATGCGAAACTGAATAAGGTGGACAAGGGTCATGCCATAAAAACAACAATATTGATAATGACCCACGATTCGGCAGGCGACAATGACGCAAACCTTGATACGAAAGGTGACAAACCATTATGATTAGTATTAAAAGAGTTCGGTCAAAAACAGCTCACTTCAAGTGACAAAAAAGATCAGGTTAAGAAATCATAACACCTACCTGTCAGCGATTCCTCTGATGTGTCCAAGAGAGTCTGTATGCTCTTGATCGTTTAGCAGGATTAAGTGTTGGAATATGCGAGCAGTTCCAAAGTTCACACTTATATATGATTTACTTCGTTAGGGGAGGGATGGTATGCTTTTATCCAAACCACTTTCAAAATCTTGACTTACATGTATATATACAACATATGGACGCATGTAAGAGAGCTTGACATTCTGTACTTAAATATCAGGCATTAACTTGCACATTGAGTCAGAAGGTCGGACGATGATGCTTAAAACCCCTCCTGTAAACGAAACCTCGAATTAGAAAATCGCCAAAAAAAAATACATTGACTTATCTTATGGCACAATTAGAAATGTCACATTTTGTTATTTAAATGAGGCCTATAGTAGTACAAATTTATCAGCGTATTGTGTGCTTTCGTAAAAAAAAAAAAAAAACACGCACACACACACACAAAACCGATGAGTAAAAAAAAAGAAGGAAACCCAAATTTAAGGACCATTGTTTTAGTGAATTTCTGCAAGTAGCACTTTCAAAATCTAAGATGTAAAAGCCCGATTCATAAGCTTTCTTTTAATACATGTATTTAAAGGAAGCTTCATGTAAATAATAATAATGTTGGATGTCCTTTTATTGGAGATACAATATATTTCATTCGCTATAACAATATTGCAATCAAGCTTGAAAGTTTTTTTTCTAATCGTCAATTTTGCAATAGTCTATCAACATGAAACAGAAAAATCTCAAGCATGATTACATACAATGTCGTCGCCATTTTAATTATAAGCCATTGATGTAAATTCCAATCCACGCTTTCAATAAAACAAACTTAATGTTCTTAAAGGGAAACAACATCATGGAAAGCGCCAGATTGAGCTACAAAACATACGCATTTCGGCGAATTCATAACGATCCAGTTGCGCAAGTAGAACTTTAAGCTTTGATAAGGGATGAAAAGATCCAATAAATATCAAGACATTGTGGATCTTCTCAGCCCATCGTTTTACATTTTTTAGTTGTGCAACTAAAATGTAAAAGCCTTTCAAGAAGCTTACCTTTCAGCTTTCTGATAAACGGTCTTGGCTAGGCAGTTTTCAAACAGTCGTACCAAAAGCAAACGATAATGCCTCGGGACGAAAAGGACAGGGAATGGATGGGCCTCTCAACGGCAAGTACAAACAGGAATCCGCTAGTAATTTATCCGGAGAAAATACCGCTTGTGTGTAATCTGCCGGGCTTGTTGGAAAGTTTTGGCAGTCCGTAGATTGTGTAATGGGAAAATACTTTGTTGCGCGGCATGTTATTGAGGCATTCAAGGAGGACCAAGGTTTGCACACGTCCAATAGCGCTCACGTACCTTTTGAGAAGCGACCAATAATATTACAGTATTCAAATAATCAGCATTCTGGGCGGAGGCCTCGTGGCAATCCAACTATTACATGTGGAGTCTCATTTGTGATATATGCAATGATGTAGCATAAGCCCCGCCCGCTTGTGGTCACTTCTGTTTGCGAGCCAGTTTGATCGAGCTATAGTATAACAGTCTGACCAAAGAATCGTGATTTATTAGTCAGTGTGCATGGTTTGATTAACAGTCAGAAGGGTCAATCGGATATTGAGGCGTAATAGGACACTTTGTCGTTTTCACGAACTGAAATGTATGTTGCGGCAATAAAATTTGCAGAAAAATCCTTTGAAAGGTTGGACACGAATTTAATCCATTCGTATAGCTGTAGGCTTGCACACAAAATTGTGATTAAAACTTCTTTTTTTAGCTGCGGGATACCAGCTCACCAAATCATCATGCATTACTCTAAAAAAGCATTAGTCAGATTTGACTAGAAACCAGTTAAATTTGACTAGCCATTCAGGGTCAGCTGGGTGCAACTGATAATCAGTCAATCTGCAAATAACTGAATTTGGAAACGAACCCAACAACCTTTTCTAGTCATAGTATGAAACTTAGCATGTTTAACTAAATTCCTAGTCAATTTTCAATAACTAGGAAAACCAGTCAATATTTTGACTAAGTTGTTTTTAGAGTTTGTCTCTCCGTTAGTTAGCAACAAACGTTGACATTGTCTTTTGCTCCTACATGTTTTGACCGAATTCAACCAACTTTGTCAAACGTTTCAGTAGCCCAGCCCCAACATGTCACATGACCAAACTGAGGTCACTGGGGTCAAAAACCCGATGTATTTGAAATCAAAACACAATTTCCAAAACTTGCATGGCACAATCACGTGACTCATGCTTGAACACAAATTCGTTGACCCGTAGCTTTCGAGATCCATATCGAGCTTGTTAAGGGTGAAATTAAGATCAGTTTCATTCGTGAAAAACAATTACGGGGTACGCGCATGCAGTGCCGTCGGTGACGAAATAGAAAATAGTCCGACTCGAGTCAAGTCTAGTCATCACGCAGACAGTACAGACATCACTCCGGCGCCCTGCGACCTGGCAACCGCGAAATGTCTCCGGCGTCACGTGCTCGAGTCGTGACTTATTCATCTAAAGAACGACATCTTTCTTCCTGTTCGATTGTCTATGCCCTCTAACGAGGCAAACAGTGCATGCGTTTCGCGCGTGATCAACTCGACTGACCAGGTTACGATAGCGACAATATTTATCGCTTCATGTACATAAGAATTGTAGTTTAATACTGCAACATTTAATTACTTTTCACGGAAATATTGAAAAACAAAATTTACAAATAAAAGATGAAGAGTGGACAAAACTATAAAGCTTGTTTTAGACTTGCCTTACGAAGTACAGACAGAAAATCAACTATTATCAAGGGGAAAAACTCACATTTACACAGTTGAATGAATGATAATGTGCCGCCAATGTTGCCAAGTTGGTGTTTAAATAGTGTTGACACCCTTTGGACATTTTTGGCTTTTAATTTTGTGGGTTTTTTTTAAAGATTGATCATCAATTAGCAAATTGAGGACATTCCTCGCAAAATGTGCAATACGGTGCAAGTAATTGAATTGGTGAATGTAATATGGTGCAAGTAATCACATTGGCGTTGTGATAATTAAATTTAACAATGTGTGATGTGGCGTCAAAAGCTGTAATCCATTTAAGCGTTCTAGGCCTAATAGTGGCTCCAGTGTAAACTTTTTGAAGCAGTAAACCAACATTGCACAATACTATCACTTATAGTTTTACAAACTTTAACAACACAAGTTAAACACTCTCTTCAAAATGCACGTTTATATTGTGCAAGATTCAACTTGTTTCTTCTTGTTAGAATTCCATTACTTTCATCTGATTGGTTTGATTGATATTGGTGCCTTACTTCGTTATTTTGCAAACACAGACTTTGGGTGCATTGTTACAACAAAATACAAGTGCCACCACAAGACACAAGAGTGCTAAAACATCGTGCGTATTCGTAACATCGACATTAAGACATTTGGAAGATGATTTGTTAAGGTGATGGGTCGTGTGTATACAAACCAGCAAATGTTAGGAGGATTAATAAACAAACAGCAAAAAAAAAATACTTTAGAGTAAAATTAAGAAAAAGCAAATGCTTAAATCCGTATGAATACAAGTTAAGTTTTACTGTTTAGCATTTGCTTATTGAAATAGTAGTAAATGCTTCGTACTTGGGGTTGATTGCACAGCCGAATATAAGGTCTCACCCACAGAGCAGCCCGTAAGCTGATAGGGGTGGTTAAATGAATTGAATCTCAAGTTGCTGCTTTGCAGTCAGTGTTCCTCCTTTTCGCCCCCCAGAATGTTACAATAAATGGTCGGCCATCCATGCCACATTTCTTTCCTCAAACCCGGTACAGCTGTTTGTATTTTAATTTTAAACACCCCCTCCCCATGCTAAACCTTTTCCTGCGGAACCACATTTATATAAGCTGCTACTTCGCATACCAGTATTTGTTTTGCTCGCTTTTAAGGTTGCCCCTACCTAGCCTTAGAAAAATGTCTAATAAATACTCCAAATCTGAAGCATTACAGGGAATTTACAACATTTGTTTTTGCTGTAATTTTCTAAAATGGATGGATTTTGGGGGTTAGTATTTTATAGCAAATATTGTTACACTCACTCATTTGACGTGACAAACAATCATGGTCTGGTAGTCTGGTTCCTTGATCCCACTTAAGTTGAAACGGAGCAATGTATAGACGTCGGGGACTTGTAAGCTCAGTAGAGCAGTCTAGCTGGCTTGTACCCGTTCATATAGGTGTGTAATCGATTGCAAACAAAATGCGGACTAACTACATATAATAAATCGGAGGGCATTATTTGAAAAAATAAACCTCATTTTCCCCCGACTTTTCTTGAAACTGTCAGCACACCAGGTGCCATGATTTTATAGAATGCTTTAGACTGTCATTCACTAACAGTCCAGTCAGGTGTTTTATAAAAATGTGGTTGTTTTGGTTTTTGATGTTTGCAAATGTTGTCTTTTCCCTTTCACTCCTTATTTATAACAAATAATACAAAAACTAATAGTCTAGCAAAATATACAAAAGTAAAAAGTAAATACTGTTTTTTCAAACGTTTGCAGTAAACGCATTTGTTCAATTTGCATTCATACAGATGCAAGTAAATGCTGAACAACTAGTAGTAAAGGCAAACGCTACTTGGTATGCATACGACCCAATAGTACACAATTAATACACATTGAACCACGTTGTCTTTTGCTCACACTCAGAGTACAGAAACTAGTATACAGTCCATATTGAGCGTGCTGTTTAAGACATACATATCACAAGGTGAAGAGATACATCATACTTAGCTTAATCGTTAATATTGATGTTCCACTTGACAATATCGCGATTGTGTACACATTAAGCGAAACATTAGATTATGTGAATTCTACCTTCATAAAATTACTAATAATTCTACCTCCACTTCAGTTCGAACACTAGCCGCGATCCAAGACTGGATTTATATTTATTCCCCTTATACAGCCGGTCCGTGACAAGCGAGTTCGCTACGAACCAGGTGAATCAAATCCAGAGTTGCCAAAGTTGGCAGCGCTTCAAATAAAATTCCAATCATGCCTCACGCGCTCTGTATTCAAGCTAATTTATGGTTGTGAGGTGTGCTCAGAATTTACCAGGTAGTACAACCAATATTGCCAAGACTATTCATCTTGTTGATGGAGACTTCCACCGCCCAGGCATCTTTACCACGTCTGCCCCGAGACTGCCTACACAATAGGGGAATAAAACATTCAAATCCAGCCTTGGACTCAGACTAGTCGAACACATGAGCCGCTTAATTATCCTACATTCGTCCAAACAGCTTCGTAAATTGCAAGTCTGCTCGAGCCAGAATACAAATGCATCATCCAACTAATCTTATTACTTTTAGATTATTTTATCATCTCATCAATCTCTTCCATGGTCCATTGTCTTCGATCAAGATCGCAGCGTTGAATCCAGGAGAAATACTCAATGTGTTAGCAACAGTATATCAAACCGCTAATGTAGCTAATTTGGTGGAAAGATCCCGGTTAGCTTCTTGAGCTGCAGTAGGTCTCTATCGAATGTATTGTTTTATCAGTCTGATAAATTAACAGAAGGCAAACGGTTGAAATCCAGCTGCTTGCCAAGTATTGCGTCTTCGGGAAGCCACTTAAAACCTCATTCACTCGTGTAGTGGTTACAGACAAAACCAGGTGTTTTCGATCGTAGCACTGATCATTTACGGATCCATCAGTAACGTCGGTAGCACCATTCAAGGTTGTGTTTAAGTAGCGACTCCTCTACGACAGTAACACCTATTCTGAACAATATTTGACAAATGCTTCGGGCATTATAGGGGGAAGGGGGCTCCGTGAGTATGAAATAATCCGAATTGCCTTCTTTATGTGCTTCCTAGAATGGCTATCCACCATCAAAAACACTCACCTTTAGTGCCGTATACACAGCTTTATATAATTCACGTACAACTGGCGCCCAAGCGTCACAGAAATAGTGAGCAAAAAGCGTTACCGGGTTGTTTTTTTATTTTTTTTTTCAAATCGGATCAGTCAATATAGTAGTTCGGATTTGTTTTGTCAATGAATGCTGGCGTAAGCTGAGTATTAGGCGATGGACTTGCATCTTTATATGACCAGTGGTTTCATTCTCAGGAAACCGGAGATAAACACGTATCTGATGGGACTGATAGTTTCCGAAATCTAGGCCCGTCACAGTATCTAGGCCTGTCACAGTAGGCAACAGTAAAGGTGCAATCAGGGAGAGACATAAACAAGCAATACTACAGTGTAATGATATTCAAGGGCGTTACTTGGCTCTCATATTCGTGCATGGTCAGGTCTCAAGGCTTAGTAAAATATTACTTAGAGCTTTTGTCTGACAGATATGAGTTGACCGTTTCGATGGACTTTGATTTCGGCTTGGAGTTGGTCAGAGGTTTCTGAGAGGATTTCTTGGCGTTTTGACGGCGGTCAGTGATGGCAGAATATATCGTGTACAGGTACGGGTTGAGGGAGGAGTTGATGGGAAGGACCAGGACTACGATCCAGGAGTAGACCTCAGCACCGACCTCCACCACCCCGGTCTGAGAGAGGATTCCGAGGATGATGACAGGCATCCAGCAAGCAAAGTCCGTGCCGACGATCAGCGCCATTTTGACGGCAAGCCTGACGTCCCGCTCCCGGTGCGCAGCTGTGCCGACCCGCCGTGCGGACAGCTTGACTTTGACGAAGATGCCGACATAGCAGGCAAGGACAACCAGGAAACAGCAGAGATTGACGCCGAGAAACAGGACAATGGACAGGATCCAGGCTGGTTTCCGGCTGGTCGACGAAATGATCTTTAAAGTGTCGGCGCCCCCAAAAGGGTTGTCGATGTCACTGGGCTGCAGCTGGACTCCATACGCCTTGGTGGTGAGGGGCAGCCCGATGCAGACGTCGGAAAGGCCGTAGACATCGGAGTCGAGGTCCACGACAAGGGTCGGCACGACGCCAAGGCAGACAGCCACAGCCCAGGCCACCAAGACCACAATCCGGGCAGATGACGGCCGGAGTTTGAACCGACTGAAGGGGAAAACGAGGTTGAGGAAACACTCGATGCTGATCAGGGTGACAAAGAACACCGAGGCCTCACTTGATAAGACAGAGAGGATGCCAGCAGCCTTGCAGGGTACGCTGGACCGCCACTCTTTCGATTTGTAAGAGTAGCGCTCTCCGTAGTGGATGTCTGCAGCGGCGATGATCAGCATATAGACTCCCATGAGGAAGTCCGACACGGCCAGATTATGCACCATGAAGGAGTGAACCCTCATAACGTCGCTGCCCTCGGCATGCCAGAACCTCCAGACAATGATCCCAAAGTTACCAAACAAGGCGCTCATCCCGAGGACCCACATGCATATACGCAGTCCGTAGTTTTGCATGAGAGAGCCGCAGAGGTTTAGCGGAGGCTGTGACTGAGTGGTCTGGCAGTTAGTAATCTTAAACCCCGGTATATCTCGGAGGAGGTTGCAACAAAGTCTGTAATCATCAACAACCCTAAATAAGGAGATCAATAAATAAAAAAAAAGAACAATCGTTTTAAAACAGACTTTTGTGGATGATTTTAATGGGTTATATGGATTGAATGTTCTTTGGTTTACTCTTTCAAAAACCGGCAAGAGCAGAGTATTTTTTTTGACATGAGGCTGGACACATTTTGATAACCAAGATAAACGTAAAGAAATAAAGAAAGTCGCAAATAATACAACGGACATTTCAATTACGTTTTGACGTCATGAGGCAACGCCGAAAATGCACCATTCTTCACCACCAATGGATCACCAAATTCAACGTTCCTAGTGAGCACCCTGTGTGCAAGAGAAAACAAAGGATTTGAATTACAGCTCACGACTGTTCCTACAACACAGAGAAAGAAATATTTAAAATATTAAAAAAATTAAAAAATAATGGTGCAACTTATTTATTAAAGAAGTCCTGCAGTAAGCGCTTTTTAAAACCAAGACATGAATGCCTATTAATTAGGTTTTCACACCTAGATTAAAAAAAAATCCGCTACATGCAGAAATTCTTTCAAGATAAGCGGGCACAATTCGGGTTCCTTTTTCTTTACTCTCTCTGTACCAGTCGCCTCTTACAGGCCTAGAAGCATAGAAGAATTAGATGGGTTATTAGGTCAAGTAACTGCAAGTAGCCAGGCAGTCACACGACAACTGCTTTCAAGTCAAGTTAAATATCAATTATAATGAACCTCGAGAAATGTATCATTTGTTCACTTTCCGATTTTGACTTATTCATGACGTTCGAAGTGGTTTGAAAATGACTTGTGATTTGTGGCATTATGGTTAAATGACAGAAAACAGTCAAAGTAAAAGGTGGCGCTATCACAACGTTTGACAGAAGTGAAAATAAGTGTTGAAGTCGACGTACTTGCATATGCATCAACAATTATCAACTAGCAATCACAAGCCATCCAGTCCCAAGATAATTTAAGCTGATCTGATGAACATGGACAAAGGTAAAGCGTGGTTATTTGTGTGTTCATCCCCGGATACTTGCGGACGGTCTTGCAATATACTGCTCAACTTCAACTCTGGTTGACAAGCAACTCAAGGAATACAGACACATATTCGGTAAAGATCTTAGATTTGTGAGATGTGCCGATGTTCATTTTTTTATCATGGATGTAGGTTTTAATGTCATCACAGAAAGAGAAGGAATGCATAGAGCAGGTTGTGAATTCCGGACTGATGATGTATAAGCGTGCATATCTCTCATTATTATTATCATTATTATACGTGTAATAGTACCATTAAAGACACGTTATCGTAATTTCTTCGAACGGTGGAAGACGCCGGTCATTTAATGTCACAGCCCCCCTTTAGAGGCAAAATGGTACCGTGCCAATTAGGTTATTTTGTTGCACATGGTCCAATTAGTTAATGTACCAAAATTCGTGGACAAAGACAAGGGAATATTTGGTTAGGGAACTATTAAGCCTGAAATATGTGTGCACAAGTCTATGGGGATGTCTCCCAAGATGTCCAAACCAGGGTAATAATTAATATTGGCATGAATCCCGCAATAAGGCGACAAGTTGTGCGGGACTTCCCCTACATTAGGGCGACACACCGCAATAGAGCAACAATTCTGGTGTCGCGCTATAGAGGTAACTACCCTTTAGCGAAGGAATTTTACCGTCGCAAATGGGTTAGATCGATTGCTCGTGATCCAAAACGTTTTACAGAAATTATGATGTTCATGCATATTTAACCCGTCAATCAACTCAGTTTCACTTACCAATTTGCCGAACTTCCCTTGCCAAAACAAGTATTAAATTTGAAGGACCCAGATTTTGGAATTCGTTAGATAAATCCTTACAAGGTTTAGCATCTGTTTCAACCTTTAAGCCTGAATTCAAACAGTTAATTCTCAACAAGTACTCTTGCTAAAAAATAAGAATATCTTTTTTATTCTCTTCAAATATTTATGTTTTATAATCAATTCATTGTCGTAGCTCATGTGCTCATCAATCATTTTAACGAATTGTTGTGGTTGGTTGTTCATATATTTTTAAGAACCTAGCATTTGCGTTAATGCACATTTTAAATTTCGCCCTTAGTTCACCAGTTTATCGGTCGGTTTTATGTTTGTCTTGTCCTTGTAATGTATTCATTTACAATTTAATTCCTTGTTGAATGTTTTACAGGGGACTTGCACTCGACAAGCCTTGCTTCTGGCGGGTCCCCTCCATCCCTGCTTGATATTTCTTAATACCACGAAAGTTGGTTTACCTTGTCATAGTTTTGTAGTATAAAAAGTGGCTAATTATTGTAGATATGTACCTATCTTTGATGGAAATCAAGTCAAGTCAAGTCAAAACGTACACGTACCAAACTTGGTTGGGATCGGATAAGGTAAAATTGGGTTAGGTCAGATTAAAGTTTGTGCGGGACTTCCCCTACATTAGGGCGACACACCGCAATAGGGCGACAATTTTGGTGTCGCCCTATTGAGGTAACTACCCTTTAGCGAAGGAATTTTAATGTCGCAAATGGGCTAGATCGATTGCTCGTGGTCCAAAACGTACACGTACCAAACTTGGTTGGGATCGGATAAGGTATAATTGGGTTAGGTTGGATTAAAGTTTGAACAATTTTGTGCACGTTTTTATGTAAGTGTCGCCCTATCATGCAATCCTGAGTTATAATAATTATTATTATCACTATTTTGTGTTGTCTTATGATACAACCCAATTTGGTCATGGTTTCGATAAATGATTTTAGGGGGAAAAACAATAGTGTTCGACTAAGTCCTGTTGCTTATCAAGGTAAATATAGGTAAAATGCATCTCGTGGATCTAAAACACATTGGGTGAAATGAGGAATATGCCTACGGGACAGAAAAGCAAGGATGAGATTGGATGGGTATGCAAGGTCTGGTACGCTAATATTTTGCGTTGGCAGCAAGTGAAAACGAATCTCTTTGGGATTCATGCATCATGCTGGAAATGACATCTGCTTAAGGTTCAATATTTGAAATGTTTAGTTCATTTTTACTCCCTGAGTCAATCGTGTTTTCGACGAGAGTATGCTAGTTTTCCGTTTCAGTTAAGAACAATCGTAATTCAAAAAAAATTAACTGATGTGACAGCAAAACTTACAGCGTTTTCACGTTGGCGAGTCCCTTGAATGCATCCTCTGCAATGAATTCCAAGGCTGATTCATCAGTCAAGACCCTGCAGAAAGGAATGTCAAATAATGTTTCTCATACTACTATGAGACAAGGTTGGAAATCGAAGACAGGATTTGGAGACAAAAAATGATTACCTCGCTATTGTTTCTATAGTGCGTGGAAATGTGTTACGGTATAAATCACTGTCTTACTTATTTTTTTCAGTTAGGCCAAGTCAAATAAAATTGATCATCCGGTTTATTTTGTCAAAAAGAGGAGGATGAGGACCTTTTTTTTTTTTTTTTTTTTCCCCAAGATGGCCATCAAGTATTTAATTCCAAATGGCCGCCGAGTTGGTTCAAAATGACATCAGGACATATGCATCGGCCATCTGGCATTGAAAGCATGAACCATGGGGGTATAATTAAAAAGAAGTGCGACTGTTTCTTAATTCCTTTCTCGAGATGTGTTCGGTCGATTTTTATGATTCAAAGTAGCTTGCATATTAACTTTTGACACTATGTCCATTACTTTACAGTATAAACAACAACCTAGTAGATTTGTGTAGATATTTTTGGTCAGTAAACTCACAGGCAGTGGTGCCATAAATCACCTGTCCACGCCTCCTAACCCTAACTCCCTGGGGGTGAAAACTGTATTAAAATTGGAGGACTTTGGACTGTTGGGGGTAGATGGAAGGTTGTGTTGAAAACTGTTCCGTCCCAAACAGATGTGTACAGACGCGAGTTTGTTAAAGGTAAACTCGGGTCTGGTTCTAATGGGTAATTTATGTATTGAATGGTATCATTCTGTGCAATGGTGTTGATAATCTGACAAAGATAATACTCACAACGCCTCCAATTGACGGAGCTCAGAAAACGTATCCTGGATTATTTCGGTGAAATTATTGAACGATATATTACTGCAATCAAAACAGGCGAGAGTCAAGTGGTTACAAGAAGTCCTTGCGGACGTGAGGGAACGAAAGAAACATAAATATTGCATCAAGTTTTACATGTATTTGATCACAATTGAAAATGATAACATGCGTTTATTCTACACTTGGGCCAGACGGTATGGATATCTAAAAACCTGACTCGACCTTTAATGGCTTATTCAGTGGGGAAAATTACTTTCAATTAATAGTGACAGAGAAGTCAGCCAGTGTAATGAAAACTAAAATAATGTAATATTTCTCTTATACTGGGTACTTGTGCCAACTGCGGATTAAAAATAAAACGAAACTCACAGGTATGTCAGGTTCTGCAAGCCATAGAAAGCCCCTCGTGGAATCACAGGCAACGAATTGTGCGGCAGTGATCTATGAGACAATAGGAATCAAAGAGACATCAAGCAAAAGGATACAAAAGCACGTCAGCGTATTGGTTTTACGTGACTGTGCCGTTTTCTTTCGTAGAAACAATGCAGTACAAATAATATACATTCAACCATATTATTAGCCCATAGGTGGATACCAAAGGCTGTTATATATGGAAACAAATCACCGTTGATTACGGGAAAGTGTATGTTCTTATTATATCTTGTTACAGTTGGCCTTTGTATTTAATCGTGAGTCTCTATGTTCGCCTGTCCCCTCGGTTACAACTCCAATTTTGTTGGTGTTTTAGGGCGGTACTATACTTTGTACATTAGGACTAACCACCCAACCGATGGGCGTTTGAGGCTGTTCGGGGATATGTAATATCTCAAGGGACTGGAAAACCTGCTACTTAAGTTTTATTCCGGGTTCTCGTGATTATGCCTGCCCTGCCCGGCTCCATGCCGTCTATCCCAAGAAAGCAGTTAAAGTAATTTAGGTTGGTGCTTGGATAACATTTGTGCGTCAAAGCTTCAACCGATTTTAGAGAGTTTGCACCTGTCAATTTGAATGAAGAACTTGTAGAGTACGATATTTTTGGTACCACACAATTCGGAGTAATTAAAACCCACGTGATACGTACTGCGAATAAATCAGTACTTTCCCCATAGGGAGGCAATGTGGTTGAGGGTGTTAAAAGGTTATACGAATAAAATCGTGTGTAAGATAACGATGACGTCCACACACGATACTGGTTTGTGTTGATCCACAAATGGAAAATGGCGAATATGACAGAAATTTGCCAAAAAGCTCTTAAAAAAGCTGCCCAAAAAGGGCTTACGTAAGTACTTTCATTAATGTTCATCTAATCTGGGCGCCCTGCAAATTTGCGCCATCTGTCGGTACAACGTTAATGTACTTACAGTGACTGAAGGAATGCTAAGCCTTTGAAAAGTCCAGGGTTAAGAACTGAAGTCGACTCGTTCCTTGCTCCAGACAGCCGACTTTGTGTGCGTAAATGAAAGCGGGGGAAAATAACAAATTCGAGCTTTTCTTTATTCGAATTCAAATGTGGCCTACTTTAATGATTTGAGCCATGTGGCTCACGAGACGTAGAGTTGGATGTTAAAACAAATCTGCAAAGTGCGCCACCATAGACGGGGGACTAGACGGGCTGCGAATATTTTTTCCCCCAAACACCATCCACATTACATGGTTGTTGAGCTTTTTTATGATACGTACGCAGGTATTTATTACAATGACTTCCAGGATCTGTCTAGCAGTGCGATAGGTCAGTTTGCCGCGAGGGATCCTTGCGGTATGTGTTAAAGTCACATTTTTTACCCGAAAGATTGTTTTCTTTTATGAGTTTTTTTTTTTATTTTCAAGGGAAATAAAGTCCGAATTTCATTACGTTCGAATTCATTTTTCTTCTTCTAATTTTATATTTTTGCCTTATGTTATTAAGCGTAGTAAAGTCCAAAACGTCATAGCGTACACCACATGCGGATGTCGTTTGGGAAAAATGTTTGCAGACGGGCTCTCATCACAGCCCCACACGTACACACACATTTCCAAATCATGGCAGCAGTTTTCAATCTACAATCTTAACACTTCTGGGCAAATACAAAGCCAACACCGTGTGCTCATTTGGAATTCTAAATTAGCTCACTGCTGTGAATGTTTTTGTAGAGACTAGTAGAAACCAGCATATGGTTTATATTAATGTTGACAATATAACCTATTAAATTCTCAACAAAGCCTTCAGCTTAAAATTTTTGTTAATACTTAACACATCCGAAAAGCTTTGACAAATTGTTTCTTACAGTGCCGTAGTCTTTCGGGCAATTTCGCTCACGTGTTGTTGCCCCCAACCTTCTTCGCAAAGCACTTGGAAATCGCCATTTACGTCAGTGCACTTGCAGCCGGTCGGACATCGTTTCGTCTCTGTGAAGACAAAAAAAAATGTGCGATGTGGTGTGTATTTCTGATAGGACAATGGTTATACGGACTAAACCAAAAACATTGTTTGGCTCTCTTTTCACACGCATCTTTCATGCGTGGTCATCAAGGCCGGCCGCACAAGAGAGCTACGTGCTGAGCAAACAGTCGCTCGGGGCCGTTTGCTCAGCACGTAGCTCACAAAAATATCCCCGTGTGCAGTGACATTTTGTTGAGTTGTGTACCTCGCGAGGCCGTGAGGCAAATATCTACCCTGTTTAATTTCTTTCGCCTGACGAGGTAAACAAAAATCACTGTGTGCGGGCAACCTGAGCTACGTGCTGAGTTTTAAAAAAAGATTCACCGGCCAATACACGCACATTAGTCTTGTTAATCGGCTGCGTGATTAAGAAAAAATGTGACAAACGCAAGCAGGCTCGAGAAGATTTGCACGAAAAGTATGTTCTATTCATATGTACAGAGTACGATATTTCATTAGCTTTTTAAGCTTTTTAGCTCAGCACGTAGCTCAGTCATTTGCCTCACGGCCTCGCGAGGTAGAAAACTTAGCAAAATGTCACCGCACACAGGGATATTTTTGTGAGCTATAGTGCTGAGTAAACGGCCTCGAATGATTTTTTGCTCAGCACGTACAACTCTCGTGTGCGGAGGGCTTAAAGCACTCTCAACTTTTGAGGGTCTACACTCACAATCGGGCAGAGTTGCAAAAAGTCACTGATGTCTGTATCTCGAGTCGAGTCGAATTATGTTAAAGAAGTGATTCGACTCGAGTCCAGTCATTTGGTCGAGAAGATCGAGTCGAGTCGAGTCAAGTCGAGACACGGTGAGTTGTCGAGTCAGTCGAGTGGAGTCAAATATTTAGCACGAGTCAATTCGAGTACCGAATATTAGCCGGCTTTCAAATCCAAGAACATTTTTAAAAAGGCAATCGCCCAAAGCCAGTGATGGAACAACGAATTGGAAAATGTGTTTAAAGACCGGTTCCCGGATAGCATTTTGTGCATTCTAGAACCTTGAGTTGGGAGTCTGTGACATGCTAGATGTTTGTGAATGACAAGCGGCCACTGCAACGTACTGATTCGCAAAGTGACGTGAACATGTATTTTGCACCTGCCGTAAGTCATTGCAAATACTTTTCGCAAAGTTATCCTTTTACTTTTGGTACTAGAGTCTTATTAGTTTCTGCTCGGGTCGAGTCGAGTCATCTGGTGAAGGACTCGAGTCGAGTCGAGTCGTTTGCTCGCAGTGACTTGATTTGAGTCGAGTAATTTACTATTAGGGCCTCGAGTCGGGTCGACGGAGTCACCAAACATTGCGACTCGAGTCGGACTCCAGTCGAGTCATTAGCTCGAGTCATTACAAGTTTGCAATCGAGCAGAGGTAGTCTGGAGATGAAAAATAATCCCGAAGATCAGGGCTAATTATAATTTGCAGAGTGACTTTATAATAACAAGCTCCACAAGATATCAATACTCAAAACAGCAGTCCTCTCACCACAACCTCTTTCATCATCTCCCTGGTCGCAATCAACTTTGCCATCGCACACGTATTCCCACAGGATGCACGTTTTGGTCGAATGGCACATGTAGAAATCCGGACAAAACACAGACGCTGCAAATTGGAACCGAAAAATTACCAGTCAAAAATATAACACATGTTTAGTTGTTTTGTTTTTTTCAATCGATAAACACACAAAACTGGTATAACGATTCGGAATATTTCAGGAGCTTTTGGGTGGACTTGTTATCATCATCAAACGAAAGCGTGAACAACTTTACATAGGCTAAATGTCATTGCATTTGGTAAGCGACAAGTTAATACACCAGTAATTTTGATAATAAAATCAGTCGTGGGATTCAATATTTCCAGAGTCGACGGCATTCTTACAGATTAACGCGTATGTCTTTTAGGTAACTGATTTGAAAAAAACTCAAGATAATTATCACTGTATTCGAATAAAACCTAGATTGCCTTAATTTGTATGTAAATTTGATCACCACTTTCAATAAAAAGCAACTCTTGTTTTATGGGAATTGGTTCAGTTGCCGTCTTGGGGAATTCTGATAGGCCTACCGCACTGATGCTCATCGTATCCGTGCTGGCAGTCGCTGAAACCGTCACATCTTGCCGAGGCGAATAGACAAGTGCCATCACTGCACTGAAACTCGTTCGCCTCATCTGCACACCAGTCTGCAATATAAAAGGTGACGGATTTACTAAGATTTTCCGATGGAGCCAACACACAACAGGGGAAAGCCAAAGCAGCAGTACAAGCTGAAGAAGTAGAGGTAGCAAAACCACCGGCAACATCAGCAATGGGCTCCGTGCGCCGACAAAAGAGGGCGCCCTTTAACCTAGCAACGACGTCCCATGGGCGGGACATTTCGCTGGTTGACGCGCACCGTTCATTGTGTGTGACGCACGTACACCTGGGGATTTGTACTATGTGCACGCAGTGGCCGCGCTTCGCGGAAAATGAATCGCAGTCATGCAAGGTGGCGTCGGTCGGTCACCCCCAACTGTACTTTCTTTGCCATTGAGGTGGTACTTGTGAACGGAGCGGGTAGTGCTAAACAAAGTTAACATCAGCAACAACAGCAGGGTTAGCAGCAGATGGTGATATCAAAAAACAAAGGTAAACAGAGACATATGAGTAGCAGAAAGAAGAAGGCACAGAAAGAAGAAGGCAGAAACATCAACACAACAGCTTCAGAGGTAGAGTAACATACACAGATGCTGCAGCAGCTGCTGCTGCGCGGAAAAAACCAGGAACAGCAGCAGCACCAGCAGAAAACATCAACAACTGCAGAAGCAGAGATAAAAGAATAATCTGCAGCACCAGTAGATTTAACAGAACAGTAGATTTAACAGAAACGGGAGACAAAACAGCTGTAGCATCAACGGTAGTAGTAACAATGCAAACAGCAAGTGAATGTCACAAGTAAAAACACATTGCTTAGATGCGACTTCCAGTCGAGAAAAGTGAGGGGAAATGCTTCTGAGATTATTTTCGGTGTTGTCATTATGCGGGCCTGTTTATCAAAGTGTTACAATCGTTTTCGTTAATCGTTATCAGAGAGGAGCAAGAGATGAAGATTTGTTAAAGACGAACATTCTCAAATTAGATTTTTCCTTGTTTTAGGCATCCATTTTGTACCAATAGCGATTTCATTTAAATCCGTCAAGCATAGTTGTTTCCACCGCCATGCTTTCTCGGATCCTGATACTATTAAAGGTACATTACATCATTTGTAATTTGTGCATTCTGATCGTTTGAAGCAACACACGTTCTAAAACTCTAAAGAAGGGTGCTGAACAACTATGCCTGATGAAGTTTCAGCTGTATATTCCCAGAAAAACAGCATTCTAGGACCTCGATTTCAAATAAAAAGATGCTGAATCATGTTTTGAATTGGGCATGAATCAACGTCCGAGACACGTTCTCACTAAGCCGATTGCAGCTTCGCGATGTCCCGCACCGATCCGACGAATTATAGCAACCGCACGCGCGTGTGCATCGCATCAACGCTTGCGCTCGCTTCGCAGAATAAAATAACAATAATAAAATAACTAACTACTATAAACGGAAATTTCCAACGGTGCGTCAGTTGGAAGGGCCTTCTTTCGTTGATTTCTTCAAAATGACAGCATGCCAGAAAGTATAATTTCACAGGGAGTTTAGTCCCCCTACTATCTTTCAACCAATTATGTTTTAACGATAACTACGTCAGTTTCTTTTTGGATAGCTGCAAATGATCGACTGTAGCTTTAAGGGCGTACTTCATAACTAGTATCTGTTAGGACCTCAATAGGCCTAAGGCTAAACATAGCAGTACTTTTTTAAATCATGAGAGTATCATATATCACCTGGTTCAGGTACTGCAAGGCTTCTA